CAGGATCACCTGATAAGAAAGTTGTGAACTTCGAACCCCAAAGCAAACAATTAAGAGCCCCGAATGGAGGGACATCATAAAGAAGGATCTCACTGAAGTCAAGCCCATGATAGAAGATGCCTTGGATAGGGTTGAGTGGCGACTTTTAACAAGAAAAGTGGAACCTGCGACTGCTCGGGAATAACGCTAAGAAGAACAAGGAAGAATCTCGAACATGATGCACACCTGAATGCTCTGCCTTCCTCAAACAAAAAACCTTGAGCTTAGAACGGCTCATTGTTCACGTTCTGTCCCTCATGGGTTGATTCGTCACATCACTCATGAATATGGATCAACATACAAAAACGATCATAAACATAAGGTATTAGATTTCTCCATCCATTTTATAAATTTGCACACTGTCGGGCCCACGTCTTCGATAGATGGGCGTGGCCCTCAGATGAAGGTACGAAGGAAGGGCCGGTACCCGTCGACCCTGAGATAAGGAGCCGGCAGTCGTCAGTCGTCACTCACTACCTCCACCCCGTCTTCCCCTTCTCTCATACCTTTATAATAAATATGTATAGCCAATAATGTTCTGTACTACAAACCTACACACCCTCAGATTAAGGCCTCGCGAACCTATAATCTGATAACACAAACAGCTTACTAAGAATCGCGAAAGATTCAAGCGCTCTTAAGGTAATGAAACAAAAACATGAAAGGCCACCTCAAGATTGATGTTCGGCTTTTCGATGCCCAGTCACTGGTTACATATCAGCTTGGACAGTTCAACCGAATCCATACCGAATCCATTACTGAGGACTCGCACCGGAGCTGAGCCCACGGGACTTGGTACCTACGTGGTAGTGAGCGATTGTTCTGCCGCCGCAGTCTGCCCTTTCAATATCTAACCATGCACGGCTAAGTTAACGCAGTAGAAGAGGTTTCGACCTGCACTGCACACGCTGGCTTGGAATGGTTGCATTTTGCTTTAGTATGAATGGAGGAGGACCACTGACTATACATTCAGTTGTATGCATTGGTCGGATGAATCCTCTGATAAGTACACAAGTAGCTCGAAGCCGATGGGATTATTCAGCAAATAGAAGAATTTGCGTGCTTCCTGCTGAGGCGAGTTACATGCACTTGGCGATACCGCAACAAACACCTGCATTACACAAAAACCAACACCGTATTCTTCCAAAGTTCTCAGTAGGACACCAAAAGCAGACACGACACAATATGCAAAGTCAGAAAGCCAAAGTGAGCAGCGGCATAGTCACTGCGGGTTTTGATGCTGAATCCTAGGCTTCTGTATATTTCAGTAAGGAATTAGGAATGTGATAAGGCGGTTCTTAAGAGATTCAAAACTCAGAGAATATGTGGAGCAAACCCGATGAATGAAAGGGACTTGCTTTGCACTAACGAAATGCAGTTCAGCTTGTGCTCTCCAGTTTGACACAGAGCTATGTAAAGTGGGCTCTATGCACGGTATCGAGCGACGGAAGACAAAAAAAAAAAAACAAAATAGGAACGATCGCGGATATAGCCTGTTTATATCAGCACTATCACAATCAATTATATAAGCTCGTCAAAAAAATTCTGATGCTAGATAACTAAAAGAGCGCATCGTGACAACATAATTTCACTTCTTTTATGAAGATAAAAGGAGACCAAATCATTGAAAACAGCGGAATGGTGGATGTCCAATATAACGTCGTAAAAAAGCCGAAAATTAGCTATTTATTGATCAAAATATCCACTAAAGAGAAATCGTAGAGCGTTTTAACATAGCAATTTAACATCACGAAAAAAAAACAATTCAGGAACAGATAACAAGTATAACCTTCGAAACGAAATAACAAATGAAAAAACAACAACTGACAACAGTGCAGGTATAGTCGATGACAGGAAAATGGGAACGTGGTAGCCGCAGACTACCACCGTAGAGGTTCGCGCCTTTATGCACGCGATCGCTTTTACAGACTCTCTTAAGTGGTTCTTGATCCTTCAAAAAACACAAGTCAAAAGCGAAACCGCACATAAAGGAAGCCCACTACAGAAACTTACAAACAGTGAGAACACATCCTTAATTCTGAAAACATTATGACAAAGTGGTGTCAATTGGCGAAAGTTAACAGAAGTCCTGCTTACAAGCGAATTCCTTTGCATAGCCATGGTTTTCAATCTCACATGTTTGTGAACAGGTAAAGACGTAAATGGAAGCCCAATCAATCGAATGACCTGTAAAAATAAAGCAAGTGCAAGTTATATGGAAGGTCACACTCTCGCAAAAACGATTTCCCGATTCTTTCCCAAATAAAAAGTGCAAGCCAACTCAAGAATGACTGCTATGTTTTGAACCGATTTTGAGGCGAGTTAAGCAAAAACTCCCATAACAATTCATATAGAGAACCACGAAAATGGAAATCCGGTGCATAGACAATATCTTAAAAGAATCGTTTTTGCCTGTAGGTAGTCTACTGACCTATTTGATCCACACCGATGAGTGAGAGAAGGTGAGGCATCAATTGTAGCTCAAAGGTGCGTGATGCTCCGCATCGTTCACATAGTGGAGCTGCCTTCAATGGAGGAGCACGATCTGTTGCCAAAAGAGGAGTTCCTGAAGAGCATGGAATTAGTTCGACTTTCTAGCTTCCGAAATATTCTCCTAGATGCTTCATATCAGTCGATGGACTAAATTCAATGATTACTCTGGACGCTCTTGAAATCGCTGAGCGGAGATCTGGTGGCCATGTAACAATGAGAGCTTGCTTGATTGGGGCCCACTAACACACTGCCGACAGAGCTTCGCTCACCTGCTTGCAGTGCCGCGTAGTTGCTTCGAGTTATTGAGCAAGGGATGAAACTGTGGGTAGCAAATGAAAATACGAAAATGGAAATGGATCAAAGAAGAGACTTGCCTGCGCGTTGATATCGAAGAATTTGGGTGGGATTTAGGTTTAGGAGACGATTGAACCTTAAACCAACAAAATTACTACGGAAGCTAAACACTGAATTGCGTCCCAAACAACAAAGCACCTTTCAAACTTTTTGTCATTTCGTTGTTCGGCTACTGCTGCTTCAACTTCTTCTGTTTTGAAGTTGTCATTATGCTGCAAGCATATTCACGTATTAACCTCATGACAAAACTCAAAAGAAAAAAGGAGCAAAATAGGAAATCAAGCATTTTATGTTGATCAATTCGCTTTGGAATGTGCACGCATTTTACTTACATTTAAATTTTCATATTAACCAGTACGGTGTCAATTAATTACCCCGAAAATTTGGCTTAGGCGTCATTCGAGCTAGAATTTGTTCTATGGGCCCTGCGCGAAACAAGCGGTGTATTTGCCACAGCAGTACCTTCGCCTCAAAGCACCGAGAAGAAAAACTAGGTCCCCTAAAAAAGGAAATTAGTAGAAACTCACTAGCTTATTTTTAGCCATATATGCCTCAAACTCCGCCATGCGCTTCCTTTCTCACGTCCTCAGGCTCATCGTCAATACATGGTTCATCATCATCATCGTCATCATCGTCGTCGTCACTTAACGCTTCTAGCAAGTTTGCCCCTACGTACTCCTGAAAATTTTCATGGTGAAGAGAACTGATTTCGCTCCGACTTCCAGAAACCTTCGAGACGTTGCACTACAAGCAATCGGTGCTGGTATCGGCTACACTTTGCCGAGCATCACTTTAGTTTCTCTTCAAAAAACTGCCAGGAGAGAGCCAGGCTCCTCTACCTAACCCTTCAGATAAGCTTTCCAGGTACGTTACTTTTCACAGGGTGGCCACAAATCACAGTGACAAGAGAACACCAAAAGAGCAAAAAGACATCAAAATTTGAACCCACAGAGTTCTGCTGTTAATTTTCTATTCTTTCAGTTTTGACGCTCTTTTCATAATTCAACCATGCAATTAAATAAAAGTGGTCATCACTAATTAAATTGTTCAAGGAATAATAATTAAAGGCAAAAGTCGGGCTCAATAAGGGGGTATTATGGCGATTGAAACTGAGTATAGAGATGCGAAGTGGAACGACAGTGGAGAAAAAACTGAGAAAAACCGTCGACAAGGCCGTTAACAAAACCCTCTTTCCCACTAGCAATGAAGGAGGCTGGCTTGGGGAAGAGGCACGTACAAACAAGTTTTCTGAAGATATCAGTCGTTCTATCGGTTGATACGGCTATCAACCTAGCTGATTTCACACGTTATGCCACATCCCGAGGTGGGCGGTCGTAGCGGGGCTAGGCGGCGATAGCGCATAGTACGTGCCCTGAGGCCTTATTACCGCGTCGTTTGAGATTTTGAGCATGGGAACATCTCTATGGGTGCGTAACCAATTACAGGAATGACCGAAAGGGTTGGTTAGGTTCACTAAGCCCGACCTTTGCCTTTAAATAATCTAAATAATAATACAAATTCAATTTCCATTATGTGATTGTTTCGAATTCCAGCCATCCCCTGTACACGAAGCAAGCATTCGTTTTACACCATTAATCTACTCGAAGGTGCTGCATGGCAATATGACTCGAAGTGTTCTGGAAACTTCAGTCTACCACCGCTACAATCCTCATGAAGGCTAGGTAGTAGGATGATCGATCTGAATGTGGGAGAAAAACTGTGTAAACTAATGTGGTGATCAGGAGCAATGTTGAGAAGGCAGGCGCGAAGGTGAGCACACCATTTGTCAAGGTGTTGGCTCGTTAATAGGCGTTGAAATCTCGATCGTTTCACAATACTGAGGAGATGTCTGCAATTGAGCCACTCTCTACTAACCCTAAGCGAGGCCTGGCAGAATTCCTAGTATCAATTATAGAGCACCTGTGGCATCCTCGTTCAACCAATATTGAACCTAGAGCATCTTATTATGGGTTGTTGCAAAGTTGAAGGGTGCTGAGATCGTTGGTCTTCAGAAGGAAGGAGTAGTAGGAAATGTTCAAAAACCTCAATTCATGTAATGGACTGAGGAGAGCTCCGCAGAAACTCCCGGACATTTTAGCACGCCAAAGCGTCCACACACATGGAACGAAGGATAAGAAAAAATTGTGCAGGCAAAGCTCCCGGAAATCGTTCGAGGAGGGTTCCATGTAATTCTCCAAACTCAGATTCAATAGACAGCCATGTATGGACGTATTGCAGACAACAGCTTGCTCTAAGTGTCAAAGCGAAACTTCGAAGAGTTGAAGAAATCGCTCAAAAGCTTTCGATGAGCTTGGATTCTCCTCCGTCAGCGCAGACGACCGCCACTTCGAGAGATCTTTTCGTGAACCTTCAATAAACACATTTCCGTTAGCCACTTATCGTTTTTAGCTTTGTCGGTTTCATAAACCACTGTACCTTGTTACCGTAATTTGTGACCACCCCTTAGAAAATCAGAGTATGTGTGCTCAAAAAGGAGTCTCTCAATCTTTACAATATGCCACCTCGAATTCCGGACTAAAAATATTGCGGGATTCAATGCTAACCTGATCCATTTCAATGCCGTACTCTTTGAAAAGAAATCTGTTTGGATGGATTCTCAAGAGGAGCAGACATGCAGGATCGTCTCCTGTGCCACATGATTGCTTGTGTCCGGTTGTCCAATCCAGTGCTTGGTGGTTACGGCAGCAGTACCTGAGTTCTTGCGGCAGTAACGATAGCGGATTGATTAATCGAGATACAAATCTATTCACGTTTGCAAGAGATTACCCATGTACTACCAAAATTATAAAAAAGCAAAAACAAATACAGAGAGATTATTTGGGAAGTAAATACATGAACATCACAAAAAACCGTTCCTACGTGCGCTTCTGCTTTCTGAAAGCATACGAGCGATAACAACATACCAAGCAATTCCACATTTTCCGCATTTCTTAGAAGCATAGCAACCGCAGATTCGACATAAACTAGGGGCATTCTCAGGTAAGTGCGGATCAGGAACATCGCCATCTGTAATTGGTATGGTGAGCTATTATGAAAAACATTCTCGTAATAATATCAAACATCGTCACACCTAAATCGGGATCCATTGGTCCTTCAAAAGAGTAGTATGGATTTTCTCGTGGAAGGCAGCAGCGAAACACAGCTATGTTAGATGCGTCGTTGCTCTTCAAAATAATCGTATTAAATGAGTGCTCCAGAATTAAGATTCAATACATACATATGCTATGCATTGTGTGTCGTAATATACAAGAGTATAACACTTGGATCGGTGCATCAGAAAAAATCAAAATTTTCAAAATTCAAATTGTAGGAAGGGCATATTTAACGTTCTAGATATAGCTCATCCATCCTTTTTGAGTATTATAAAAGCGTTCGGTTATTGGATTATATTGGCCCTACAAAATCGTTCAATATAGATGATCAAGGCACGTATTACACTTCGCGAAGTTTTCAGGCATGCAAAAATGATCTTCCACGATATCCACAAAAAGCTTATGCTCAAAACACTCGTACGTTGTCCAGCATGAGTCATTAAATGGTACATCGCTCCTAGTAACCATCACTCCTTCACTGTAATGACTTGAACTAGGTTAATGTTAATTAAATGTGTTAATGGATAAAAAGCTCTACTTAGGATCGTGATCGCTTAAAAGGTTTATATAAGGAATAAACCCCTGTAAATACTGTCGTGAGAGGGAAATTCAGTTCACAAATCGACGACTATGGGTCACAAAGGAGAGTGAGTGGCGAGATGAATGCGCGGCTGAATGATTCGAATTTCATCACAAGAGTTGCCAGCAAATTCGGCTGGTAGACGCATTCAGTGTACAGGTTGACCTCTATTTGGAAAGCGAAGCTTGACCCGGACACGTACTCCATTTGATACTCTGAAGGAGTCGTTGAACTAAACAGCGTGTTTTCCAAAGGTTTCCAATGACCCTTCGCGGGCCGACATGAACATAAAACTCTACGAGCAGGAAATTCGCGCCAGAGGTAAGCACATCGGACAATCTTACAGCATTCCGTTGTTACGATGCTAAGTGGTGTAGCGTGTATCTCTTCCAGCTTCAGAATAAAAAAAAACTAAGTTTTTTCGGGTCAGCATTACTTTGGCAGAAGTTGCTGGGTTACAAGATATGTATAGCATACGGTGTGTCACTACCAAAAAGCCTGCACCTCCAGATGACAGCTTCTCTCATACAACATCAGATTTCTACCCATTATCATTTTCAGGTGTTTGCACCCCGAAACTTTTGCCAAGGTGAATTGGATGAGGATTTTGAGTTAGAGCAAACGTACAGGTAAGGTGTAAGTAGAAAATTGTGGGGATTTAGAAGCATAAACTGTCACTATCACTCAAAGCCTCATTAAATATTAAAAAAAGAAGAACTAACGAAAAAGTATCAAAGATATTTGATGCTTGAAGATACCTTGGAGCACTCCGGATCACGACAGATGAAGATGAAAAGGGCTCGATGAAAAGCGTGAGGAGGTCGGTCGTTCTCACCTGTTGCATAAATTTGGATCAAAAAAGGCAGGTTGCGCTTCTGGAACATAGTCGTGGAAGGGAAATGAGAGTTGTGCGAGGAGTTACGTGATAGGATAACGAAAAAAAAACTGTTACACTGCACTGCAAGTCAGCTGTTGTAGGAAGATACTGAGGGTTAAGCCATGACGGCTTACCACCGATTTTCCCCAATGGTAAAAATATACTTCGAAGGCGATACAAGTTATCAATTTCTAAAGCGTTTCCGAAACCAAGATATACAGGAGAATCTAAAAAAAGACCAAACTGAGAACTGCAGAACTGTGAAATGTGTGGAACTTAGCCCGACTTACCATGCGCATTTCTTTGCATGATGCTAGTCTTGCTTCTTTATTGTTCTCTTATCTTCTTCTTTACTTGCAGTAAAAAGCCAGAAGCAGAGAACCACGTGTACAAGGATTACAGCAATGATAGCAGAATAGGTCAGTGCTTCATCCGCAGAGTAGCCAAAAAGAACTGAAAGGAGTTGCGATCAATTGAAAATTACTTTCCACTTCCGAAATTATGCGATACCTAAGTAAGGAACAACACTCCACTTCTAAAAAATTACATGGGTGGATGCAAATCGAAGGAATAAGTGGGCAAAGGGAGTGACTCCTAGCAAATTGAAGGCCCACGTCTCTGACGACTTAACATTGTCAGAACCGGAAGAGCTACTTTCAATACCGGTGTCCAAGTCAACAGCTCACCATGCATTACAGCAATGCGATGAACTGCTAATCGTAACTTTGCGGACTTGGAATAAGAAAATAAATGCCGAAGGAATCAATCAACTGAAGTTAAGGTGCGAGCGTCTAAAGGTCAGAAAGTGACCAAATGCGGGTACACGATGGACTAATATCATTTCGTGAGCTGACTGAACGCCCACTCCTTTTGCATGTTTGATTATAATAACGATGTTGCTCCCTTTCAAAAAGTAGAAATCCGGCTTGTGCACGAGACCACGGACTACTTGGACTGAGCCCTTTCAACCACCTCAATTTGACGGTCCTGCTTACGCTCTCCCGCCTCAATAGCGGCTCATGATTACTGCTATTCAAACATTTGTCACACTGTAATTGGCTCATCAACCCCGGAGTCCCTCCCCCTTCAAGGCTTAGTCCTAGAAGCTCTCACCTTCCTCCTTGGGATTTGGAGCCGAGCCAGGAGCCGTCTAATCGTCTGTCCTCTAGCCATTCACGACAGGGCCATGGAGGGAAGCTCAAGTAGTCCGTTAACCGAGCGGAACGAGGCGCCGTTCTCTAATCGCCCATGCTCTACCCATCCGGGGCAGGGCCATTGAGGAAAATTCAAGTGATCCGTGAATCGTACGCGACATGCACCGTCCACTGCTATCTTTGATGCGGTACCAGCGTTACCGAACTTAACACAACCATGCCACAACGAGTAGAAATGAGGACACCAACAGGTGACAAGCAAACTAATTGAACCCCACTTCAATTGGCTGAAGTACGCAAAGAAAAATGCGAACCTTCAAACATGAATCGCTTCAGGAAAAACATTGACCCAAGAGGAACCAACAGAATGACGACGCTGTACACAAGAAGATTCTTAACGGCGCCCTGCACACGCTCGTCTCGCAGATTCGGTATCAAGTCGTCCATTAGACCTGCAAAATAACTACTACTCTATGTGTTACAGGGCACCAGATAAGAATCTTGCGATGGGTGTTGCTGAAGAAACAAGCAGGGATCAAAATTTAAGCTGCGACATACTACACCCAGTTTAGGATCACAATTCCGCCTTCTGAGTGTTGCATCACTCATCGTTCGAACCTTTTACAGCCTTTTCCTCCGAGTCACTTATAAGTCTCAAAGAGAATAGCGAGCTATATTAAACCTCTCAGACCTAATAATACTCGTAGTGGATCATGCCGCATTGATCGACTAGGAGTTTATAATGACGGATGAAGAAAAGTAAACTGGGAGAGAGACTGAGACTAAAGAGATCGACTCTAATGGAACGCGAGATCCAACTATAGTGGGTTCCCATAACAATGAGGCTGGAGCTGAGTCAACACTATATTTTTGCGCGAAAAAGTAGTGAGTGAGTATGATCTTGAAAAGCGGAAAAGAAGGCGCGCGAGAAACATGAAAGAGAGCTTCTCGCAAAGCACCTGTTGCCCTTGCACAGCACAAAGTCCCGCGCTTCCTAATGTCTCCTTGTGATGACTTAACAGTTTACAAAAAGACGTCAACAGTGGATGCAACTTCGTAAACGATACTTTGATAGCTGAAAACGTGAGATATTACTTGGTTGAAGAACCAGTAGGATAGCACAACCCATTTTAGGAAATTTTATTCCAATAGATATGACTTGACATAAATCATATTTCAATATCTACTGTATAGTCCATGTACACACCTTTCAATTGCGAGAGGACAATATGTGCAACTTTGTAGCAACGTAGAAACTAGCGTATCTGTAGCAAAAGACCAATGCTTTCAATAAAGCATGGGCAAAACGAGCATGTTAAAAGAAAAACAAACTTTTCCTTAAAAGAAAATATATTTCTCTACTCTTGCGTCTTACTCAGACTTTCTTAAAGAAAGCTTTTTTCTCATCAGCCTGTTCTTCGCGATAAGCAATATAAACAAAGGCGATCATGATGAGGATGACCACAGCGACTCCACACAATCCTGCGTACAACATAGCCTGATCCGGAGGCAAATCAAAATAATCTAAAAAAGTAAATGCTTTAGAATGCTCAAATATAGCATTTACTGATACCGAAAAAATCGCCCCGTGGAAACTCAGACCTCTAAAAACATAGTGATAAGTGGTGAACATTGTCAGTAATGGAAGAACAAACATTGCAGCTGAAAATCTGATCAAATTCGTGATCGCACTGCGCGTGTGAGCAGACGTGTATAGCAGCTCCTGAAAGTAAATAGAAGATTTTGGAAAAACATAGTTGTGGTATAATCTAATACCAACTGATTTTTAATATGAGCACTACATACTACAATGACTAACAATGAAACTTTGTTTTCATATCCCCTTAATTTTCTGGGCTACGCTACAAACACATGACCGATCAAGTGAGCTAATTCTTTTTTGCCTGAAAGTGATGACTCGCCACATCCTGAACCAACCTAAACTGACAAGTCTGCTTACAACTAGTACGAGTGCATGAGGGGGCAAAAAATAATGTGAGCGCTCTGTATGGAGGCGATTCTGAGGAGTTCCACCTAGCCACAGAAAACGAGGCCGACTTGTTATGATTCTCTCCCATATCTCAACGCAGCAGCGGAGAACCTGCACATTTTTTGACGACCCTAACCCTTATTGTTGCACGACAGTAGCTTAATCGTTGACAAGTCTGCCTCACAAGCGCTCACTTTTGTATCTATGTATGATTCCAAGTAACTCGACATTCAACTACATTGGTAGCAATCCAAGAATTGGCTATTCACCTTTTCTTCGCACGACTAACGTTCAAAACACTGTATCTCATTCACGCTAATCCTTGAATGCTTCGGAATTCTCCCCTTCCCCCCCCCCATGGAACATCGTGCCTTCTTCGGAGCCCATTCCCTAGGCAGGCTGTTTGAAAAAAAGTATCACTGTGCGTGGGTGAGATCTGTTTTCCACTGTATCCGTATCAGAAGGAAACCTACGTCGTCAGATTTCGCCCATTCCGGAGTTGCTTTTGCCTGGTCTTGTTCAGCATCAGTTGATTTTTCTTCGGTGGCATCGTCACTCACAACTTTTGGCGCAGCACAAGGATCAGCCACGGCCGAGGCGGGATCTACCACAGCTGAAGAGTTGACGTTTTCAAAGCTCCCAGTTGTAGAGGTGTTCGACGATGAGTCGCCTTGTACTATATCGTACTCATCAGACATCTAAAGGAGGCTAATTTAGAAACTTGTAGAAAAGAGATTTCACATCACGTTGCTGCTAAATACGAATCACAACTGAAACAGGTAGGCACAACATTCAATAAACAACGTCAACGCAATCC